TGACCAAATAAGGCATACCCTGTGAGAATAAAGGCAAAATTAGTTTTGACATAAAGAAACTCGAAACGAATTTCCATACCACTTGGTTTATTAGCAACACAAGTCAATTTCGTCATAGTGAGTTTTTTAATTATTTTTTCTACGTTGTTTAATTATTCCTGTGCTTATTATCCCTGTAGTTGCATGTCTTAACGTACCTAATATAGTTCATCTCCTGTAGAAAAACCAACGAACCGATGCGAAACAAAGCAAAGCGGTAAAAGACGATTATAACCGAAACAAGCTGCATCGACACTAGACTGTAACAGACATAGAACTTACCCGCACATACAAACAAAAAAGAAACACATAGTATATAACTAATTAACAAAAGCTGCAAGAACACAAAAAGCTAAGCTAAGCCAAATAACGGAAAGCACGAACAAAAAAAACTACGCAATCCTGGCGCCTACAATCACTTTGGTGCTCCACAAAGTAAAATCTCAAACTTGGAACCCCAAAACTTTAAATTTTGTAGATGAACTTTGAAGTCTTTCAGGTCAACACAACTTAACTCAGCCCAAATTGACTTCATTGAAATTTTCATCTCATCCTAACTTACCGTCATGGCTCTCGAACACAACTGAACAACTTTCCGAATGTCGTGCAGCAGGGAAGATAAGGTATGGTCTCAAAAAAACCAAGAAAAAAGGAATATAGATGCCAAGTAACATCTTTAGTGACGAATACCCCGAGGAAACTGGGAAAAAACAAGATAATGCAACTCGTGAAATGGCATTTGATGCAAATTTTAGAATAACAAGATATGTCAAACAAACCTATACACAACTTAAAATGGCAGCAGTCCCAATTTTTTTCCCTTAACATGCGTCTGGATAAATAACATTCCCAACCCAGTCGAAAACATTATCATCAAATAGCGTTTTTTTCTAAAAAACATCCGTTTTGATCTTTTTTGTTTCTGGACTTACGTCTGTTTGTAGCCTATTTTTCATAACAACAAAGCAGTTCAGTTATAAATAATTAATTAGTTTCACAACAAAGTATTCTTATTTTCAAATTTTGTTAAGTCGGCGAACTATGAAAGTATATAAATAACATCCACTAGCACGTACCTCCTACCTGTGCTAATTTGCCATGGTAACCCTTTGAATGAAGGAGTAAATCCGTTGACGAGATTAATTTGAACAAGCAAATGATTCTTAGAACTGATAAATCACCCAGGGATGGAAACGCTGAGCAAAATAACACGTAGAGCTGAGAAACTCAATGATGGCTCTTCTCGCTGATTAGTAAACAAAATTGTTTGTGTGTGAGAATTTTTTTTAGCAAAGCAGGTGCACGCCATTTCATTCTCTTACGAACAATATTCTTATCTCCTGGGCGATGAAACCAAACACAAATATGCAGTGTTCATGTTAAGGACAACTGATGCCCTCGAGCTCATTTAACATCTTTCCTAATACAGTCCTAAGATCTGAAGAGTAACTCCCTCTTTTGGCTGCCACGTATGTTATTTACTAAAGGGAACTTAGGGTCTTATCCAGATAGAAGCTTTCGCTCACCCACCTGTGTTGCAATAAAATGATGTTGTCCACCGTCAAATACTTTAAATGAGTTATGATAATTGTTTGATTGATCGATCGATCGTAGATCTAGATCGCTGGAGTTTATGTCAATTACTACCGTCTTCCCACACGAAACTGGAGGATAAGAGAGGGCAGCGATTCAAAAAGTTAGCATCCTCACACAGAATGAAAAATATTGGGTGATACGCGCCAGTCATTCACATTTAGTCATTTCCTTCGAAATTTGTTTTCCAATCACTTTACATGTCCTAACTTTCTAAGGGAAATTCTTCCATAATTTCAATAAAAATCTTAGAGTCAATGACTACAAAAGAAGCCAGTGAGATGATTTTAAGGCAATGTGAGATTAAAACTGGCTGATAAATGCTTTATAATTATTGAGCGCAAACTGTAGTTCTGGATTAAGACTCAGTATCTCAGAGCTATAAAGAGTTTTGGAGAAAACAGATCTCCAGAGGTGGAAGTTGTTTCAGAATATGGCGTTTCTCGTAGTTAGTCTGAAAATTTACCAAAATATCAAATTCGATCAGTTTGTTGAATTAAAAAAGGAAAATTTTTTTCGGAATACGCAAACATTCGGAGTTGATCAGATAACAGTTAGAAATGTTAGTCTTTTTCCAAAAACTCTAAATTTTATTGAAAACGTTGCTTGCCATATGTTAGATTGAAGATGAGTCTCAAAATAATTAATAGTTAATTTCGTTTATTACTGTGGAGTAAAAATTGATCTGCTCGGTGAAGGGAAGTAACATATTTTATCCAGCACTATTTCCACCATTCCTGAAATCACTGATTAACAGTTAATCGAAGAACTTCAAATATTGCTGACTATTTTGCAAGCTAAAAACTGACAACACGAAATTCTGAGGCCAAAAGAAAAAGAAAAGAAAAATTGCGAACTTTAACCACTCAGGTAGCTGTTCGGTAAATCCATAATCCGGAGCAAATTCACCCATTGCCCACTGCGGTATGACAGAAATTACAGTGTAAGAAAAATATCCACTGCGTATGAATACCCGGGACGTACGAGGAACAAAACTATTTTCTTACGTTTTGCTCTGTTGAGAAATGACATCTCCTTCTTTTTCGTTTAAGTTGATGCGATTGAAAATAGCAAGTAAACAACAATTCAACTTTGAACTTTGAAACTACGTAATTGCCTAAATTAATAATTTAATATGAAATTGTCATTTGATTAAGTAGCTCCAGGACTATATTGTATTTCTGTCGTCTCACAGGATTATTTCTTTGAACACTACTCGTAACATCGAATTACCCCAGAGTAGATGAGACTTTAATCAACTTTCCATTAGCGACTCTGAGCAGGTGATATCGTTTGGAGATAGGTGATCAAAATCCTTCTCTGAGTCAGTGGCTATAGGTGGGACCCACTAAATTTTAACTACAGGTAAAAGGGAAAATAATGGAACTAGTAA